GTCGTAAACATCACCGACATCCAGCCCTTCGACCACTCTCCCTGGGGCTTCCCGGGCGTCTTTGACCGCGACAACGGCGGCGGCTTCCTCGACCGACACTACCCGCGCGCGGCAAAGGCCATCTGGGACTTTGACGGCATCTACTGCTCCAGCCGCCATGTCCCGGGCGTGCGGTTCGCGGGGCTGATTCACCCGGGCATCCTGGGCTGCGCGCCGTCGGCACAGGTGCTGGCCGAATGGAACCGGCGCGAGGCCGAGCTGATCTCGGTCTGCGCCCAGTCCATGCCGGGCCAGACTGTTGCCCAGCCTCCAAACGAGCTGAACGCCCATGCGGGCCAGGCCGACGGCGAGCTCAGGGCCAGGATTGCCCGCGAGGGCGCGCGGACGATCCCCGGCAGGCCGGAGCACGGCGGCAACGTCGACATCAACAACATCTCTCGAGGGTCCACGACATATCTTCCCGTCCACGTGCCCGGAGCCAAGTTTTCCGTTGGCGACCTCCATTTCAGCCAGGGAGACGGCGAGATTAGCTTCTGCGGCGCCATTGAAATGGTAATTATCCCCCCTCTTGTCGCTCTCACCGTCATCTAACCCGCTGCGCTCACACACAGGCTGGCGTCATCACCATCAAGCTTGACCTCATCAAGAACGGCATCAAGGAGCGCGCCATCTCCAGCCCCGTCTTCAAACCAGGCGACGTGCAGCAGCTCTTTGGCCCGTCGCGGTACCTGGCGTTCGAGGGCTTCTCGGTGGACGAGGCCGGCAAGCAGCACTTTATGGACGCCACGGTTGCCTATCGCCAGGCCTGTCTCCGGGCCATCGAGTATCTCAAACAATTCGGTAAGTGAAGACCGACGCTACTCGCGCGCCGGGGGCGGCTATTGGAAAATACAAGGGACAGAGCACCCGCGCCTTGGGGAGAGAAGAGACGCTAATCGTGCCATGCTCTCGTGGGCGTCGCAGGCTATTCCGGGGAACAGGCATATCTGCTTCTGTCGTGCGCGCCAATCAGGGGCTCCATCGCTGGGATTGTAGACGTGCCCAACGCGTGTACAACCTTGGGTCTTCCTATGGATGTGTTTGAGTTTGACATATCCGTCGAGGCCGAACGGGTGAAGAGGGATCTGGGAGCCTGTCCTGTGGCTGCAGAGTGATCAGGGTGCCCGGATGCGTACAGGTGCCTGCCTGTCACGGGGTTGACTTTTTGGGGGTATTTGCTTTTTGTTGCAGCTCTTGGCTAGTTATGACTTATACACAACCCGGTGTCTTGAAACTGGCCTTGTTCGGGTATTGATGAAGCTTGTCGGCAACTTGACACAATGAACCGCGACAACAGACTAGTAAAGGGTACCCAGTCTTGAACAAGATTCCGTATTTTTCGCAACACCACCATTGAATGAAAGGCTCATGTCTGAACGTTGCGGCTTGGGGGTTTTGCAGGGAACCCTGTCAGTGTCTTCTTGGAGCTTTGTCCGCGAACAACTACCAGACGTTGAAGCGGCTTTGTTAGTTTTTTTCGTTTTGCAGTTGTATTCCCCAGTGCCGTCTTGGAATTGTCCGCCAATCACTACGTGCCGTCTAGATTGTCCACCAATTGACGAATGACCCATCGAATGCCCGGTTGCGTCTTGACAGATGCAGTGTAAGTGTAACACGGGCATCTCATAACAAGACGGCTACCCCATGGCCAATGACATGATGATTCTCTTCTTTTCTTCTTGGCAAAATGCCCCAAGTATCATACTCACAGTGTTGAAAACTCCGTCGTCACACATGCAACATGCGGACTCTCGTGGGATATCTGGTCTTGGCCGGCTCTTGCATCCTCCGCGGTGTCTGGGAAGCCAGCCGAGACGACGAGCTCGCGCTCATTTCAAAGCGTCGCATTGCTGACCTGGCGCAGTTCCCTGATCCGACGTGGTTCAGCCAAATATCAACCTGGCTGGAGACTCAGAAGAGTGACGGAACCTGGCCCGACGTCAACTACATGTCGGGATGTGCAGCTCGTAAGTTGATTTTCCACGCACCGCTTCGCCGTCAACATCTACATGGCATTCTCAGTGCACATAAGCGACCTGGCAGCTAATCGACCCTGTGCAGAACGCGCCAATTGGCCGATCCAAGCCCATTGGAATAGAATCATCACCTTTGCAGCCGCATGGTCTGGCGCCAACCCGGCTGTCGCACAGAATCGGACAAGGAGCGACGACCTCATCGAGGCTATTTCCAGGGGCTTGGACTATTGGTTCCGCAACGACTACACTCCGGCTGACTGTATGGGAAACGGCGGCAAGGCGTAAGGGCGCCAATAACGACATGTTGCTTACTGACTGACTTTTCGTGACAGGACTGGAAGCTGCCCATGCGGCACACCTGGTTTGTGGAACACGGTACGTGTGCGCCTTGGTACGGCATCATGTCTTTCAGTCATGCAGTTGTGGCTAACTCGCCGTAGAACTGGTATAGCCAGGCTATCCTGATCCCGCAGTTATGCTCAACCGCGTGCTTGCTCTTGACGGACGCAAACCTGACCAAGGACACGACTGCTGGATGCGAGCGCATTCCTCGCAGGGCGTACGACTTGAGAGATGGAGTCTACGGCAGCGGTGGCCGTTTGACTGGTTCCAATGTAGGCGTAATAGAATTCTGCCCGTCGCTGCTTGCCCTCGTCACTCACTTACAAGTGACAGGCTGTGCTGGTAATGCAAAACTCGGCCAGTCTGGCTTTGTACTCGAACAACGCCACCATGCTGCGGGATGCTTATACCAGGGCCATGTCCGTCATGACTGTAGGTTTCACAACTACGAATGATATCTTTTCCCTATCGCTAACGAGACCAGTACGCCGACAAGACAATGGAAGACGGAATCCACAGGGACGGTACGTTCCTTCAGCATGTCGGCATTCTGTACAACGGGAATTACGGCAAAGACCTTGTATATATCCAACGTTACATTCTACCCTTGATGTCAAGTGTCTGTTCTAATACGCGCTACAGCTCAATGCGTTTATCCAACTTGAAGGCGAAGCAATCGGCACCTCATTCGCGGCTGGAAATGCCACGCGAGACGCCATCGCCGCCCAAGTAAGGGGTAATGAGTGGATGATCTTTGTTGACCAGCAAACGCAACAGGAACACTGGGACTTTGTAAGTTCTACCAGCAGAGAGAATTGTTTCGAAAAGGATCACCGCCATATTGACGGGCTAAACAACCCCCCAGAACGCCATCGGCCGGTTTGTCGCATTTCCCACGCAAGACCTCCAGGCAACCGCCGACATCAACTTCAACGCCACCAAGCTCGCCGCCGCGGTTGCGGATTTCACGGGTGCCAACGATGTCAGTGACACGATTCGACGCCTCAAGTCCAATGGGACCGAAAAGCTGGTTGGCAACAGGGGCTTCTGGGCCAGCGACTACATGGTAAGCCAAGCGTCTGAACCGAGCATGGCCTCATCGACGGCGCGCCTGACAAACTGCCCGCAGGTCCATCGAACCAAGTCCTTTGTGCTCGGCAACAAAATGCTCTCGACGCGGTCCCGCAACACCGAGGCTGTAAACTCTGCCAATCCGTATGGATATCACCTCGGCCAAGGCACCCTCTTCTCGTACGTCGAGGGCAACGAATACAAGGACGTCATGGGAGCGTGGGACTGGAATCTCATCCCCGGAACCACGACCCTGCTCAACCACACCAAGCTATCAGCCGGTGCGTCGGCAAATGTCGGAAAGAGGGAGTTTGTGGGCGTCGTCAGCGACGGCGGAGTTGGGGCCGCGGCGCAGGATTACACGGATCCCCTGGACGGAAGCGTCTCGTACCGCAAGGCGTGGTTCTACCAGGGCGACTTTGTGCTCATAACCACACAGGATATCAAAAGGGCTGCCGTGTCGGACGCACCCGTCGTCACCGTCTTGGATAATCGCGCCTCCGCCCACGGAAATATCTGGGTGGACGGGAGGAACGTACAAGGCGACGGTGGCAAGACGACTCGGGGCAAAACCCTCTTCTACGGAGGAAACGGATACCTGTCGTACGGCAAGCCTTTTGACCTGACGCTGTTCGAGGGCAAGCGGACGGGCAACTGGTCCGACATTTCAACTTCGACGGCCGGCGCGACCACCGTGTCCATCTTCTCGGCATATGCCACAATCACAGACACTTGCAGCGCGTATGCCGTGTTCCCGGCGTCCAGCCGCGGCAGACTTGCCAAGGAGCTGGAGGAGCCGTCGGCCTCCCCCATCATGGCGAGCGGCATCAGCGGCGCCGTGGGATCTGGCAGACTGAGTCTTGTCTTCTGGCCGGGCGGCGACGGGAGCATCACGCTGGGCCTTCGGGAAATGGGGTGGGCAGAATCGGGCTCTGTAAGCATCACCTCTGCCCAGCCTGGCTCGTACCTCTTTTCCGGCACCTCCAAGCCCGGCAGGGGCATGACACTGGTGGTTACACTGTCCGACCCGACCCAAAGGGCAGCTTCGGCCTCGTTTTCGCTGAGTTTTGACGGAGCAAGGGCCAAGCTGGACGCGGCGGCGGCAGACGAGGGTAGATCGGGCAGTGAGACCGAGGTCAAGTATACGGTAGATCTGCCGACGGGTGGTATGGCGGGATCGTCGATATCACGAGAGATGTGCGTGGAGTTTGGATGATGTAGATCCCACTTATATATTAGCTGTCTATTGTGCTGGTTTCAGCAGGGCGATGCGCATTACATTCCCCGTGCCTATCATGCATCTCAGTCTGTCGTCAGACATGAGTCCATAGCAGCCATTATTACTTGTTAATGTAAATACAACAAGGGGCACACGCGTCGATTGCTCAACCGGCCTCTGAAGCGTTTAGAAGAAAATCCAACTCTTGTCCCAAATGCCACAATTACCATCCATGGTCGTCTGGATCTGCTCAAAGCACCAGGCTTGTCTTTCGGGCCTGCCGAGACAGCCATAACAAGCAGCGGTGGCATTGGAAACTGCATTCCGGGGCGCTGTTAAATGTGCGGGAAAAGCAAGCGCCAGTATGCAGATGCTGTCTGCAATTTCCAACGCCCGGTTCTTATAGTCGACGTCCAGCCAGGGTGGCTGGTCCTCCGGCGCGGCGGCATAAAGGCCCAGAGCTTTGGTGGCAGTGGCAAAGATGATTAATTTGGCGGCCCAGAAGGCCAGCAGCTTCTGACCATCGGAGAGGTTGTTCAAGGACGCTGTTTGGCGTTTTTGGCATCTCGTCTGGGCGACGATGTTGTGTAATGGTCCCCGTCTGGTGGTCACTTCGTGATGCCAAAAGTCTAGTGCGGCGTTCATGTACCGGCACGTGCCCAAGAATCGGATGGGGTTCTCGGCTTTTGTGTTTTCTACATCTTCCCCCTGGACAAGCGCTTGAGAATGTATAGCAATGTTGGGATTTGAACGAAGACGTCGAGGAGTGTGTGATGGTCGTCCTTGGGGATCCTTTGCCAGGGACCAGTTTTCCATTCGGTGCCAGAAAGGAAGGTGGGTGTTTCCTCAAAGATGGATCTCGCATCTGCATCAAGCAAAAGTATGCTTTGGCGTCATGTCTCACAGCCCAGTTGGTCGTATGCGGTGCAACAGAGTCTCACCATGGATGCCCGGCCTGGCAGCAGGGTTAGGGGCCACGGTGCATCTCGGAAAGCTTGAGGCCCGGCTTGTTGTATGAACATTTCAATGCCCAAGCATGCTGACGAGTCTCTGTACACCGGAGAGCGATATGGTCTATTTTGGGGGAAAAGTAAGTAGTTGAGGGGCCCTAACGAGCTCTCACCTTGAATATGTGCAGAATCATGACTGCTAGTAGTAGCTGCGGCCACTCGGACCTTGGTCGAGGATTTTCAATAATCAACCTTGGATGCAATAGCGCCTTGCCATAGAGCGTCCTCGCATTCACCAACGTGGTTTCATCTCGAGTCCTTTGCCCATCATCATTGTTGACAGTGCCTGGGTCGCAGTCTCCAAGACGCGACATCGACTGGACAAGTATGGCACAACCGATAGCCATTTCGAAGTATACTGCTCCTCCTCTGAAAGATATCTCGATAAAACCGACGATAAAGATCCGAGTAGTTCTGAATGGCAGCTTCCGGAGATCTGGGCATGGTCAGGCGAGGGACTACTCCTACACTCCGCCGGCACTGGGAACAACGGGTAGCGTCTCTCGCGAAGCGTGTGAAGCAGAAGCTTCATGCATGACAAATATTGTCTCTTGTTGGTATCCAAGACATTTGGCGCCAATTTTGCTACATGGACCGCATGCTGGTCGCTGGTAATCGCTGCCCCTGGGCTCCACGATATAAATCGCATCACTCTGTTTCTTCTTGTGAAAGCATACCTTGATCTTCTTCCGCCGGCAGTTGTAGTAGCGTGGCTTTATTAAGGGGCGGGGAGCCATTGCAACCAGCTCTATCTGAGAAAGGATGGTTGCGATGGCGCAGAAGCAAAAGCAGGGCTCTGCAAGTTGTCTGGGTGGATACGCAACCGGAACCTTGTCACGCAATTGGCCGCAAGTTGTCACCATGTGCAACCCAACATTTGAAGCTTTGTGTCAAAACTTCTCGTGCCGAACTAGGGCCTTGAGCAACGCATAACTTTTCAGCCTCATCACATATGCTGTTTTGCCCGTGGTAAAAACCAGTGGGAAGGGTTTCGTTCGGCTGCGGTTGAGCATGGGATGAGTTGACAAGTCAAGGTTGAATTTCACCATGGGTACCTAGGTATTTAAGGTTCATGGCTGAGAGGCGTACTCGCTTTTTTACATACCAGACACTTCACAACTACATTTCACAACTACGAACTACTAAAAGTTTTATGCGTCTACGCCCTCGGATGCTCCAACATTTTTGAGTGTGCAGGGATGATGCGACCCGGTCCAACTTGAACAGACGACAAATGTCCAGCCAGACAACACATGGTCTATTGGTCCGGGGAAAAGCTTAACGGTTTTGTGCTGCAACTTGGAAAATAATTGCCACCGATGTCGACGTGCATATTTCCCGAGGCAGTCTTGGGCAAAGCATGGCGGTGCAATCCACGAACAGTGCTGCGGCCAACACCCCAAAAGAAGCAGCCATCGAGCCGTCCCGGTTGTGAAAATGCCTTTTATTTTACAAGGACAAAAAGAAGGGCAAAATTCCCTGGAAAACTGCCAGCGTGCTCTTACACTTGGTCGTCATCGTGCATCCCCGACCAGGGTCAGCTTACGGGCGACAGCAACTATGACGCAATGCTGATGGAGGCAAGAGCCGAGAGCTGCTCCTCCAAGAGACTCGTGCTGAGGACGGGATACATTGACAGGATGAGCGGGTATCAAGCGGTAAGAAATTGGATGACCAAGTAATCGCTGCTTGCTGCCTCCAGTGTATAATCGCAGGCATACTTTATTCCGAAAAGTCACTTATTTTTCAGTCCCACCAATAAAGGAAGTCGATTACATGGAATACTCGTAGTTGTTGAAACCATTGACTCCTTGGTTGTTATAAAAATCAGCGGTGGCTAGCGCAGGTAGCACGCGACCATGCCGCCAGTTGACGCGAACCTCGGACGCATTGGTCGCTACAGAACTGCCTTTAACTTCAAATACGAGGGTCGGCTTGAACAACATGCCGTCAATGTGATTGGGGCGTCCGTGTTGCCATATCCGACGTCCAACGGGGCGTCCAGCCTGTGCGCAATACACGCTGGGGTTTGCTTTGGCATACCTACATGATCGAAATTGTGGGATATGACACCAACACTCGAGCTTGGTCAAAACAATGTGCCGCCGATCAGTACGTTACTGTACTGTACGCCAGGCGAAAGTTCTGCTGCAACACAAGGACGGTTGACTCGGACTCGGGCTCCCTGGAAGACTTGGGAACCACCCACTCACTGTTCCTGGTGAATGTCTTTGTCTTTTAGTTGCCCCATTATACAATAGACAGGTCGATTCTAAACCCGCAATTCAGATGATAGAAGCTAGACCTTTGCTATTACACGGCCGTGTCGGGTGTTTAATGTTGGTTCCACCGGGAGCCGCCGGACCTGAGTTTGTCACTGCACAAAGCCACCGAAACTGTCTCCGTAAAGCTCCATAACTGCGTCATGGAAGGCTCCATCTCAAGTAGTTTGAGCAGGGAAACAAACCGGGGGTAATGGCTAGTGTCTGGTAGTCGCCGACGGCGTCGACTCTCTGGCATCGGAGAGTAAGTTATGAGCTGTCAGCCACCCAGCCATCCAAAGCCACCCGCGAGGGAGGAAGAATGGCCGCGGTCAAAGTGGCGCCGACTTGCGGACCGATCGCAGACCAATCCTGCTAGTGTCTCTCCAAACGACGATGTCATACATGGTGTTGACGGCTCACAGACCCGGCTCTTTGTGGCGAACGAAGCAAGATACTGGCGGTTTCCGATCGTCAGCCCAGGGCGACCGGACCTCCTGGTACGTGGGATCTGCCCCTCCATCTCAATTTCAGTCAATTGCCTTTTTTTTCTTGGGTCTTGTCTCTTCTCCCACAGCTGAGCTGAGGAGGGCTGGAAGGGTCCGTCGCATGTCTTGCGTATTTTGGGCGACAGAGCCAACACCAAGTAAGGGAGTGTAGAAAAACGGCCAATATCTCGCAAGTTGGCACCCAGCCCGGGCACCAAATGCCAATCATGCAAGACATTGACTTTGCCTTGAGGCTGCAGGCAGGACATCTTGGACCCCCGTGGGCATGTCTCAGATGAGAACAGACGGTAAACACGGGCGTCGACTGGCTCTTCCAGCGTTGCCAGGGCGGAGTTCAGATGAGAGAAGAGATGGCTTGTCTCTCAAATGCTCACAGCTCAGTCGGGGCCGGACCCAACGCCGTGTGCATCCGAGGCGATTCAAACCTTCTGTCCGCAAACTGACGCCGGCTAAACCCAAATCGACGATCCCCAGACCATCCACACATTGCCAGAGACCAAACGCGGACACCAATGCCATACTGGGAGCCATTGTGAACCAACCTCGGTGGATCCCTCGCATGCTTCCAGCGGAGAAGGTAGTATCAAGTCATGGCTTATACAAACTAGTATAGCCATGTGGATGAGAGGACAAGAGGTGGGAGACAGGTCCGGTGTTTAAAAGCAATCCGTCGCCCACCAAGTGGGTTACATGATCGTGTTTTTTGTTGACTTCTTCTTCCCGCTTCGTCCCTTTCTCTCGCCATCTCTCCCCCCTTCCGTCTACATCTGTTACTGTCTGGTGGAACACCTCTTCGTCTTGAAGCTATCTTGCAGGGCAACCGGGGACAAAAGAAACGATGCCCCATACACACTTTTCCGAGGACCCCCCTCAGGTCATCAACCAGAAGGACCTTGAGCTCGCCAACGAGAGGCTCAAGCAGTCCGAGTCTGGCGATGGTCTGGCCGCCGCCGGCGAGGGCTCTGGCATTTCTGCCTCGGACGAGACCAGCTCGCCCACCGGGACCGATGGCAACGGCGCCGCGCTCGAGAAGATGGGCACCTACGACAGGTATGAGATTACCGAAGACGACTGCTACGACGAGCTGGGGTACGGCTTCCCCTCGTGGAAGAAGTGGTACATCCTGACCGTCATCTTCTGGGTCCAAGTGTCCATGAACTTCAACACGTCCCTCTACTCCAACGCCATTCCCGGCATATCGGAGGAATTCGGTGTAAGCGACCAGGCCGCCCGCTGCGGTGCCATGATATTCCTGGTCCTCTACGCCTTTGGCTGCGAGCTCTGGGCCCCGTGGTCCGAGGAGTTTGGCCGCTGGCCTGTCCTCCAGCTCTCTCTGTTCCTCGTCAACGTGTGGCAGCTGCCCGTGGCCTTGGCTCCCAACTTTGCCTCCATCATGGTCGGCCGCGCCCTGGGTGGCCTGTCGTCCGCAGGCGGCTCGGTTACACTGGGCATGATTGCCGACATGTGGGAGGCTGATAATCAGCAGTATGCCGTTGCCTATGTCGTCTTCTCCTCCGTCGGCGGCTCCGTCCTGGGCCCCATTGTTGGAGGTTTCACCGAACAATATCTTGACTGGAGGTAGGTCCATCTTTTGTTCAAAGCCCACAGAGGTGGTTTGTTTGGCAAATAATAAAGTGCCTTGCTAATCACATATACTCGTAGATGGTCCATCTGGATCCAGCTCATTCTTGGCGGATTCGTCCAGCTCGTTCACTTCTTCACCGTTCCCGAAACCCGCACCACCATCATGATGAACCGAATCGCCAAGCGCCGCAGAAAGGAGACCAACCAGAACATCTGGGGCCCGGATGAGCTTGTTCCTTTTAGCGACCGCTTCTCGGCCAGGGAGATTCTCGTCACCTGGGTTCGCCCGTTCCGCATGTTTCTGACCGAACCCATTGTCCTGGTCCTGTCACTGCTCTCGGGGTTTTCCGACGCTCTAATCTTCATGTTTATCCAGTCGTTCGCGCTTGTGTACGGCCAGTGGCACTTCACAACCGTCCAGATTGGTCTGACCTTCATTGCCATTGGTGTCGGATATCTCATCGCCTGGGGTCTCTTCATCCCCGCGATACGTCGCAACATCAAGGAACGCAAACAAAAGCCGCACGACGAGCGTGCCCAGTACGAGTCTCGCCTCTGGTTCCTGCTTTATACCGCGCCTTGCCTGCCCATCGGCCTCATCGGGTTTGCCTGGACTATCCAGGGGCCCCCCGTCCACTGGATCGGGTCCATGGTTTTCGTCGCCATTGTCGGCATTGCCAACTACGCCATTTACATGGCCACAATCGATTACATGGTTTGCGCCTACGGGCCCTACTCTGCGTCTGCCACTGGAGGCAATGGCTGGGCGAGAGACTTCCTCGCTGGTGTGCTCACTCTCCCCGCGATCCCCTTCTTCAAGAACATCGGCGCCTCCAGCGGCAAGAACCTGGAATACGCCAGCACCATCCTCTTTTGTATTTCTTTTGTCCTCGTGGCCGCTGTCTACGTCATCTACTGGAAGGGTCCCGCACTGCGACATCGCTCCCCCTTTGCCCAGAAGCTGGCAGACGCTCGTCAGACGCAGTTGAACGAAGGGCGCCGTGGCAGTATCTCATACGATCCGGACGAACGCCGAGGTATGTTCCGCTCATGTTTATTCAACGTCTTTTTGCGTCATTGACTCTGGTTACTAACCGTCATGTCCAACAGGATCTGCTGCTTCCGCCCATGTTCGCCCTGGAAACGAGCGACGATACAGCCAACAGCACCGATTCTTTGGTGAAAGCCGTGTTACCCCCCGGGGGACTCCTCGCGGTACGCCCTCGGCGAGTCGACGACCTAGCATGGCAAATCTGGCCGCCAAGAAATAAAATCCTACATGGATGATTTCATTGGCGTTGAGTTTGGTTCTTGTTGGTGTTGGAGATGTATTCTGTTTCGTGACTATTTGTAACGTTTAGTTTGAGTGACTTTTATGCAGAATGATACCATGTTTGCAAACTTTTCTCGTTCATGTTCACACTCGATCAATATCTATCCCTACCGAGTCTTGCCACAGCAGCGCTGTCAGATGCTAGTCACAACGATAGAAGTTCAATGTGGCGTGCCAGTCGGCATCCTACAACGCTCGGATCGCAGTCTTGACAAGTTGGGCAGAGTGACATAATCGCATGTTGAGAAGCGCATGGCATCGCCGTCTCTTGGCAATCTGTACGGTCAAGAATGTTATATCTGGATCCCAACGTCTCCATTGATTGGTGCTCACATCGCCAGTCCGAGATATCCGTGGTTTAGGCGTTTAACCTACCATCACGACTCCCGTTCAAAAGTGGCTTGCTACTGCTGGCGTCATAACTCATCACTTTGTGTAATATGAAACTACGACGCAACCAACTGCGGAAATCACATACTATAGACCCAAAGTTGAAGCCCAAGTGATAGCGTCAACCGCTTACAAGCAACACCGGCTCCAAGATAAATGCCACGATATCTGCGTCGGGCTGCCAGTATTATTCAACTTTGTTGTAACCATTCGAATCATTGCCCCTTTCGCCATGCTTGTCACCGTCGTGCCAGCAAGCACCAGAACGGGCAGGGCTGTAATCCGCTCGCTGTTAGCCTCTCAGGATCCCGGTGTTGAAATCCAAGCTATCTACCGAGACGCGGCAAGGGCACCGGCCGAATTCACATCACTGCCCAATTTCACAGCCGTCGCAGGGGACATTGCGGATGAGTCGTCTCTCAATTTCACGGGTTCAGATGCCGTGGTTGCCATTACACCCCCGGTTTTTGATAGCGGTGACATAGTGGCCATCGCGAAGGAGCGTTCCGAAAATGTGAAGGGTGCGATTGAAAGGTCTGGAACAGTGAACAGGCTCGTCCTCTTGAGTAGCATTGGCGCTCAATATAGCAGCGGCGTTGTGTGTTTCTCCCCCCCCTTGTCTCCCACGCTGCTACTGGTTTTCCCATGTCTGACACGTGTGCTTTTCAAAGGGCGAAATCAAGACAAACAACATTGCGGAACGGGTGCTTGCGACAACCGACATCCCCGAAATCATATTCATCCGCTGCGCATACTTTATGGAGAATTGGACCGTTGCGCTTGACACGCTCCGTGGTCCAGAACCATTCTTCTATTCCACCGTCACACCGCTGGAATGGAAGATTCCCATGGTGGCTGTCGGAGATGTCGGCGCCGTGATTGCATCTCAGGCATTGAAGCAGGAATCTTCGCCCAGGAGGCCGTATGTCTTTGAGCTGCACGGCCCGAGAATGTACAGCCCGCTGGACGTCCAGGTGGCGTTTTCGGATGCCCTGGGGAGACAGGTGGCCATCAAGCCCGTGGCAAGGGGAGACTTGCACGGGTTTTATAAGCAGGTGTTTCCAGACGATTTGGTTCCAGAGTGGGTGGAGATGGCCACGAGCTTCCTGCCGGGGGGCGTGATGAAGCCCGGTGATGTGGAGGAGGGCACTGGGGTTGTGAATGGAAAGACGGAGCTTGGAGACGCGATAAAGGATGCTGTCAGGTCGTTGCTCCAACAGACACGCAAATGAGGGAGAAGAGAGGAACCGGACCGGTCTTGTCTTGAAGCTTGACAGGAAGCGTGTGTAGATGATAGAGCCCTCGCTTGTCGAAGCAATTCGCCAAGTCAACTCTCTTGACTCACTCATGAGTTGCTTTCCCAAAACCAAATGATGTGACAGAAAAGAAGTGTTGTTGCAAAAAATGGCCCAACATGTCGGCCCTTTGGACGACAACCTTGACATCTACACATCCGTCTTATTCCCTTTGTCCACACGTCCATTGCCGCGGATATCAAACCCCCGGCCCTCCCCCGATTTACAATGCGATGTGACGTAAGCAGCCTCTTGGACCGAAAAGCCGACCGCAACCGCCTCACCAAGCATTGCATTTATTTACATGCTGTCCCGGTGCCGTGGGAAACCCTAGCCAATGTTTCCCGTGTGTGGCCTGAATCGGACGCAATTGCAGACAATGTACGCAGTTGGACGCGTTGCAACCCAATCCTGTTGCAAGGCTGCGCGGCAAAACTTGCAGTTCCAAACCCGGCAATTCAGCCTCGGCGCGGCGAGGAGAAGTGATGGCGGTAATGGCACGGCGCTGAACCCGAGATGGTTTGCGGACTTGCGAAGCCGTATCAAGGCGTGCCTGGCAGCCAATCCGCAGGGAGAGGAGGGAGCGAGATTGGAGAAGCACCTGGAGTATGTGGACAACAACTGGCTAGAGCTCTCGGCCGGCAGAGAGGGCTTCCTGACCGAGGAGCGATGGAGGGGATTGAATAAGTTTGCTGTGGCCTGGGGTGACATGGTAGGTTCTCCTCGGCCATGAGATTGGGAAGTGATTGTTGACTGGCGTACATGATGCGTGCAAAACAGGATAGCATGGTGAGTTGTTGGCTCGGTCTCTGTTCCTACATTCTACTCGCTAACTTTTCGTGGCTAGGGTATGCAATCATACACCAGGTATTGTTTCGACTCGAATCTCACGAAACCACTGACACGATGTAGGCCATGTCAACAACATCATGTACAATCGGTACGCTGAATCCGGTCGTGTGAATTGGGTCACGTCGTTTGCGGCACACGCAACCCCCGAGGAACGTCAGCAATGGGCCGACCTCATAAGCCCCAGGGGTATCGGCCTGATTCTCAAGAGCATCAAGACCGATTACAAACTTGTGAGTGGTATTTGGCAACCTGCCCTGAACAAAGGCCGGCATCCCTGACCGCAACACCGACCAGCCCGTCGAGTATCCGGACAAAATCACAGTCATCCACAAACTCGCCAAGCGACCAACCTACTCCTCCGACAGCATCTTCCTCGACTCTGTGATTTACTCGGAAGCACATGAGCGCGTGGCGGCGCGATGCTTCGAGGAAAATGCCGTGTACAACTACAGAGCAGGCAAACGAGCCACTTTAAAGGGCTTCATGGTAGACGAGCTGCAGAAGACGTACGACTTGCAAGAGCAGAGCAGAAAACAAATCGACCGGAAAGTGGGCGAGTTGGAGCGCGACATAGAGGCGATGGAAGACAAGGCGTCATCTTCAGCACGGGGGTATGCGATATAACATGGCCGTGTATGCGGCATGTGTCAATGCACAGCTTTACAAGGTGGCGATTGAACAAACACATCAGCGGGTCTACCGTATGGCAGAGATCCTTACAAGTCGACGGGTAAATCCCGTGGCTTTTCAACGAGTGTATGTGCAGGTTTATTTCTAGCGAACGTCTTGCGTATGTACGGGGCAACTTGGCGAAGCAAGTGATGACTATATACAGCGAATAGAACCGTCGACCATGGATGCGACGCGTCACATGACAAAAATAAAACGCTCAATCCATCCGATGCGACATGGGCTCCTCTATGCCGAACTATACTTGCGTGCTGTAGTGAGCGACGTATGCAACCTCCAACATGCCGCCGTAGCCGTCCTGGGTATTCCCATTGGGATAACCGGGCTGACAGGGTTTCGTCAGTATGCCGTTTCATCGAGAGGCTCTCATCGAGAGGCTCAGAGGAGAAGCGGGATTATATAAACTCACCCAGTTGCCGCCGACGGCAAGATTCAGGATGAAGAACTGGGGCTTCTGGCAGAGGGCAACCCATAGGTTATAGTCACCGATGCGAGAACCGCTAATCTGGTGGAATTGCCAGCCATCCCTGGACCAGGTGATGGTCTGCTGCGTCCAGTCGTTGCTGCGACGGTCAAACTCCAGACGCCAGACGTGCCACCCGTCGTCCGGGATGCCAATGGCGCCGCCAACGCCGTTGGGCTCGTTGCATGCGCCGCCGTTTGGCGAGTAACCGCAGTGGACGGTGCCGTAGCCGGTCCAAAGGCCGTTGACTCGCTCCATGATGTCGAGCTCGCCGCCGGTAGGCCACTGGACGCCGTGGCGGATGGAGTCGCCGAGGAGCCAGAACGCCGGCCAGATGCCCTGCTTTGCGTAGTCGGGCGCGCCGCCGAACCGGAGGCACGCCTCGACTCGGGTGATGCTGCCCGCGTCGGGCGTGAAGACGTATTTGCTCTCCATGCGGCCCGACGTCCATCCCATCCGTGTCGATCCGTCTCGCCAGGGGACGAGCTGGACCGTCTGGCCGCCGCTGAGCTGGAGGTTGCGTGTGCTCGACGAGTACCGCTGGAGCTCGTTGTTGACGTTCAAGTAGCCGTCGATCAGATTCCAGTTGCCAGTGTTGGGGCTGGCGCCAGCAGCGCCGGGGAACGAGTCTTGCCATCGAAGACTAAACCCGCCATATCCAGGGGCTCCCCAGGCCCTGGCGGAACTGGCAAAGGCCAGGAGGCTCACGAGTGCTCGATAGTTGAGCATGTTTCCCTTGTTTTTTGTTTTTATAAGCAATTCTTGGTGAAAGAGATCAAGCAGAAATATGTACAGCAACAAACAGTATATACAATATGTACGTCGAACGGAGCAAGAGACCGAGACGTAGGAAGGTCTGGATCTCAAGATGAACCGTTACTTTTTACTTTGACTCGGGGAACGATCAGCACCGGGGGGGAGGGACCATGTTGGAGTTGATATAGTCGGTAGGCAAACAAGCCTGATCATGCACAAAGGGTCGGCCTGGGATCAAGGAATGCCATTGTATCAGACCGACGACGCCAAGTGACCACGACAGCCTTGTTCCAAAACGCCAATCAAGGTAGGCACTATGGCTTGCATGGGATACATGGGATGCATGGCAGAATACTAACGGAGGGAGCCTCCTTTGAGAAACAGCTCCTCGAGGCCCTGATTGGCCAGACTTATACATCATGACGGGATTTACGGGGGTCATGAATCTTGAGCTTGTGCGTGGGCCGTGGACTATAAACCGGCCTCATCCTGCCAGCAACTGTTCAGTTTCAGCCGACCAACACTGGCAGAGTAGAGGGTAGTCATGGAGGATAGACAGCCCCCCGGCAAAAGAGCAATACCCACTATGCTAATGACAGGAAGTTGGAGGCAATGCAACCCTGCCGCAGGAGCTTGATGCCTCCTGACGAAAGGCCCGAATCAACTACATGGAACACGTGAGCGCGATGGTAGACCCGAAAGCCTTGCTATTCCTGGTTCCAAACCCCCCCCCCCCCCCCCCCCCCCCCCGTCCCTC